GGAAGAACAGTCATGTCCTCTTAGCCAAGAGAAAATCCTGACACGAACAATCTATTGACTTCACTCCAAATTGGGAATGGATTCTCGGTAAGAACAGCTCGATTTCAAGTGAATTTCATATTTAAATATTACAAAATGTACAATGAGAGCAAGGCCTTTACTGCATTTAGTTATCTTGACACCACAGTTTCTAGAAACGGGCGTCAGGAGTTCTCTTGTAGAAGAGCGTGTCAAAAGAAAAGTAGCTGGTTACTGTTTCGGAAATACCAACACCGGCAGCAGCACTTCTTGTGACCCAGTATAAGGAATGATTTCTATTTGGACGGAGTTCTCAATCTAAGGGACAACAGAAGCAGTGGGAGCTTTGCCGTCTCTAGTCTGTAATATACAGTAAGCAACTTGAATTGCATCATACTTAAAAGGTCTGCTCTTATTATTATATCCAATATGGATTACCTACCAAGAGTTGCATACAAAGAAAGGAGATTAAACACCACTCAGTAAGTGCCTCAGCAGATAGTAGTAGTTCACTATCATTAGTTACATTTGGCACAACTTTCCTGTAAGTGGTTCGACCACATTGTGTTTTCACTTAGTTAAGCACTAGTAACTGCAGAAATGCAAGCGTAACTTCCTTCTTTAAACAAGTGGCCCTGTGATTTTTTTTTTCTACTCACTGTATCTTAACAGTCTTCTCTAAGTGCTATTTGATGAAAGACACCATTGTCAAACGCATGTTCCTTAATCACTTTCCAGTTTTGCAATTTAGTCTAACCAAGTTTACCATTTAAACAGAATTTAAAGATTTTCTACAATATATATGAAGAAACTTCTGAGTCAAGGGGCCACACACAAATGCAATCACATGCAACAGCTCCAACTGCCTACACTGTCTTTGACAACATAACAGTACTTTTCAGCTATCTGTCAACTAGAATGTAGTTGACAAGAGAGATCGGAACCCCTTCTGAAATCTGACGGTACTCAGACATGTCTTTTCTCAGTTGCCAGTGGGAGGAATGAAGGCACAAATGGCACTTTTTAGAATATTGTACAAGGAAACAGTCCAGTCCAACAAAGACAAATTCTATCGTAATGGGTCATTTTAACTCTTTCCGAATATTAATTTAAGGTGTTTCTTCAAAACTGCCAGATTAGATCACTTTCAGCTGTATATGAACAACTTTACTGGTTCATTCAAACTGTACTGGTATTGCTTTCTAAATAAGTTACTTATATAGGTATCATGGTTAAAAGACTAGTATAGCTTTTTAGCTAAACATTGGTCAGTTGTCAACAGTATAACGCAAAGATCCCTCAGAACCATTTCTACATAAGATTTCATGCATGTTACTCAAACACTTAGTCAAGTGACTTTACTGCTTAGCACCTCCTAAAAGTGCTAAGCATATAAGTTTCCGGTGCCGCGTTTGGCTAGCTTTCAAAGGCATCTGATAACTGTGGCCTTGAAGAAGTGTCTATTTGACCTCACAGTGGAAAGATATCACCTCTGTGTTAAAATACATGTGAGATATTGCATAGATCACATGTAGAACCGTTCAAGGCAACAGACACAGAGGCTCATTAATATTTATACAAAAAAAATGTGATTTGGCAAAGACTTTAAAAGTATCCATACTGTCTCATATGCGTTACTTTAAACCTCTCGTAATTTATTCTTTACATCATAAAGTATGAGAGGTGTCCCAGACCATGTGCTGCCACATTAAGGCGTGTCAAATACTTGAAATTTGAGTAAAAGCAAATCTCTGCTATTAGTCATGGAGGTAGGGTCACAGAGGCCCGATAACCTGCCGGTGCTGGTTGTCAGGAAGGGGGTTTGCACAGTGCACAGACAATGTAGATTGTGTAAAAGAGACAAATAGAGGGAGACAGAATTGTGAATGCAGCCTAACATCACGTAGAGCTTGCCACCCCGGCCACCCCTCAGTCTAACTACCGAGCCTCGTCTCAGTGTGGGATGAGTGGGTTTAGACCAGGTCAGAAATAGGAAGGACCAGGCAGGCAAAGGAGAGCCCAGTCCTGTCAACACTAGGAAGGTGTTGAGAAAGCGGATGGGCTGGAGTTGTTTTGGCTGGTAGATTTGACGATGGTGATGACGCTGGTAGGTGCAACTTTGCCTGGTGAGAGAGGCCCTCTGGTCACAGTCCGGGCGAAACACTGCAAAGCCTCATACTTGGCTCGCAGTGCATCCAACTCCAATCTCATGCTGGCATTCTCACGTGCCAGCTTGTCCACCTCCTGCTGCAGCTCGGTCTTTTGTCTCTCCAGCTCCTCCTTTTGCGTAACACGTTTGATGCGGCAGCTCGCGGCATAGCCGCGGTTTTTCAGGGTCCGCCGTCGCTGCTTCAATCGCACAACATCCTCCTTGGTGAGCCCACGCAGGTGCTGATTGAGCTCCCGCACAGACATGGCAACCAACTCATCATCGCTGAGCACAGGGGCATTCTCACCCACCTCCTTCTTGACCTGCAAGACACGAGCAGTGCATGAAGAACTGTGTGCAGGCGTGAATCACTAAAACATTTTTTCAAACTTCTCATGCTTACCTTTAAAGCTTTGCTCGTCTTAAAAGTAGTCGTCATTCCCTGCATGAAGACAAATGACCAGAATCTCACAGAAGACACTGAAAAGTAAAAAAACATACGACCTCAAGTAAGTGAAACAGAACATATTATTGATGGATGAAAGTAATTACAAATAAGCAGATGTACTCAGCTACTTATGTTGGCAATTTAGAAGCAATTGGAGTAGTGAAGTTATTCTACTAGAATGACTGGACAGCATGTGTTACTTTGCATATATCATTAGTTTATACTACTCGGGTTACTTCTGCTGCAGAGTGCGTTAACATGCAGGAATTTTAAACAGTGCATTTTAGTTCAAGCGTTATATTTTAAAAAATGAGATACTGATATTTTTTACTCAAGATGGCATGTTATTTGACATTTCAGATATGACAGATAAGCAGAAATGACACCCCCACTGGTGGTACTCGAGAAGTTTACTGCACAGACGTCACATCCCAGGGTTACATCATATGTCAGTGCTCATGTTTGTTTGTTAGTGACATAAATACCAGCAGATGGCAGCATGACTCTATTAATTGTCAGCACTGTTGCTTGTCTGTCTTTACATATTAAAAAGAGGGTCGCGACAATGTAGTTCACTAGACCAGGCAAAATTAGAAACAGGCAACCTCTCTCCTGCTCGTCACAGAACTTTGCATTTAAGCTCTCTGCCTGAGTGATTTTGCCAGGGCAGTATTTAGAAAAGACTCTCTGTACTCATTACAGTGAGCCACATGCTTTCCAGACTGCTGCCATGGCCAAAAAAAGCAAGCGCGCTGAGCTGCGATCCTGTGAGAGGCACACATCCCCCAAAGGCTCCATTTCAAGACCTACAGACCAGCTTGACTACGAGTGCACTGTTCCATGCTCAACAGATACCATGGAAACGCCCTGCAAATGGGCGTGGGAGTGTGAGTCACATGGTCACCAAAAGGGTAAACAAGTCTCATTCATAACCGCAACACAGCCCATACATAGTACAAAAGAATAAAAAAGAAAAAAAAAAGAACGGCACTAACTTGTGCTGGTAACTTCAAGGCAACCTGTGTACAAAAATCCTCAATTCTCCTCTTAAATCCAATCTCTGTCCCATCATTTATCTTCTGATCTGACATCTCTGGATTTACAGAGCAGCAGTCTACAGGATTCTGCCTCCTCATCAAAGCAAATCATCACATCAGTATAACATTTATAGTTCTGCTGAACTTTACAGGGCAGCGTGTGGAAAATTCCTAAAGATAGTGTGTCACAGAGAAATAGTTTCCTTTATAGTCACTGATGTATTTTTGCTGGGAGACAATGTAGTCTATCGATTTAGTTTCGTCTCTCTGTGGTTGGATCTTCTTACACTGGGCTTTCCTGAGCTGCCCTATGCCCTTATTTAACGCTCGTGGATATATTTAGCCCGCAGTGCTGACACAAATTTCTGCCAACTAAACAATTTAAAGGGAGCAATGCGATAAGTGATACCCTCAGTAAGAGGGGAAATATTCTCTTCAGATCTATTAGCTGACGCATTCATGGAAGAAAACACTGTGGGTGTGGCTGTTCATTGTGTGATATATATATATTTCTGTTAATACAGGGCCTCTAGGGGATTCTAACTCAGACCAGTGAAAACTTAGAAAAACAAATGCTTTTTTTTCTTCTTGTCTTTTAAACATTACTAAGTCATTGTCCTGAAATAGAAAATCAAGTCAGAATCCTAACTTGGAAAATAAACACATGGCAAATGTGCATAATGAGCGAACAGCTACAAACAGAATCCACATAAACTTCGGTTTAGAGATTTAAGGAACATCTGGTGTGCTCGCTGATGTCCTTTATTTATCTGCAAAACATGCTGCAAAGAATTACATAACTGAGATTTTAGAGGCATCAAATAAAGATGATGAACTAAAATAAAACATTCCTCAAAAGCAAGCTGGCCCTAAACGGTCTAATTTAAGTGGTATTGCGTCAGAGGGGGGTCCCTGGGTATGTTCCTTGCAAAAATCATGGAAAAGTGGACTGGGGCCTCTCTGATCTTTATACAAGAGGTCCCCAGTCTGAACCAATATGCCAGATTGTTTGCCTGAAATTCTTAAGGCATGTGCTTATGTTTTTGCAACTTGCACTGGGACACGGCTTTCTTGATTAAGACACCAAAGTTTCCTCAGAGAACAAAACAAACCCCAGCAACCACACAGAGAAGACAGACAAAACACGTCCTCTCGCTATAGTCGAGAAAACAACTTACGTTAGGCTTTTTTTTTTCTTCATAACAGTGAGGAAAGGAGTCTGGGAAAATACCTCAAAGGAAAGCCACAGTTGGCGGGTAAAGAACAAAACCACATTCCTGAGCGAACACACATGTGCAAACCCTCACATGCACACAGGCAAACCTTCGCTGAAGAGGGAACATGCAGTCTGAATATATCCTGCAATGCGCTCAGCTACGGGGGTGGAGTGGAGACAAACCCACTTGTAAAACAATGGCTGCAAATTTCACAAAATGTCTGGAATTTTGAAGTATTGCACATCTGTCACTTGGCCAAATAAATGGAAAACAGCCTGCGCATGCTTACGTGTGGAAGTCAGGAGTCTTTCTTTCTTATTGTTGTGTTTCTTTAAGGGATAAATTGTAAACAAGTGCTTCATTTTTTTTTTTTTAAATTCATTTTCCCTTATTTTGATATACAACAAGCAATACTGTTTTATTCCTAACGACACCCCTCTGACGACTGATAAGCAAATAAGTGCTCACTGGAGTAAATGCTCCACTGTCTATCCACTATAAGCACAAACATTTCACGGCTCTGCTTGTTTGCTGAGGGATTTGAGCAAAAAGCACAATGTTTCCCGCTGTGTTCTTTGAAGATGTACAGATGCATGTCATGAATATTTTTAACTAGTTCAAAAGCAAGTAAACCAGAGCAGAAGCAAGAAAACAGTGATTTAAAAAAAAAAAAATCATCTCTAGGCAAACAATTGTGGGACAAGAAATCCATTATAACCTTGCTCCACATCTGAGACCGAGCCAGTTAAATAAATGTATGTACCTTTCCTTCACCGATACCTCGTGGTTAAAGTATAGCTTACTGTTTTTGAAGTCAGGGATCGGGTCAAGTTCATGGCTGCTGTTCAGTTACAGCAGGTAACTGTGGGGCCCAGCCTTCCCCTAAAATAAACAGCGTATCAAAGACTTATGCGCTCACACTTCACTAATAAATGCAGAGCTGGCTTGTCTGGATTCTTTGTTTTTCTTCTCTTTTTGTGTAGGTTGGGGAGGGGGTTCGGCGCAAAGCAGACTTAATGCTGCCCTTGACATTCAACTTTAGTCTTCACGAGAAAGCGCTTGCATTTCTTGCACTTTTCTAAGGGGTGGGGGGTGGAGAGATTTCTTCACAGACTGAGGCGCGCAGCACTCTGCTCTTTCTCCAGCGCAGCACATTTGGTGGGATATTATGTGAAGGAAATGGAGAGCATAGCTGAGCAGTGAGTCATGCTGTTTACTGGTAAAAGCGACAACCAGCAGCAGGGAATCACACCCTCCTGATCTGACATTTCCTGGAAAATCCCGTTGTTTCAGGGAGAGGAAGGAAAAGTACAGAGAACCTCAGAAATGGTTGGCATGACCAGCGGAACTTTCTTGCGGAAAGGGAGGAGATCTCACCGAATATCTGTGAGAAGATATTCTCCCAGTCATGGACACTGGTTTTCAGAACGATGTAAAGAATGAAAAGTGGACACATCGGTCCTTTTTTTAAATTATAACTAATAATTAGTGAATAAAAGAAGACATATTAATTTTCAGTCACTGCTAATAATAGTCCTAAAGATTTTGATAATGTTCTTTCAGGACAGGTTGAGCAAATGTTTCGAATGATTTGATTTGAGTTTGAATCACAACAGAATCGAGAGTTGCATCCAGCTCCATCAGGAATCAACAGAGAATTCCCAGCATCACAATCCGGCAATATAATTACAGGAGTACCTCTGACATTTGCCACACCTCTGACCATAATGAGGTGAAAGCAGTGGTTTGAGATCCAGTCTTTCTGACAGAAAAGACTTGATACAAGCCGCTGCCGGTGGCAGAGGGAACAATCTCAAATGCTACATAACTGCCCGGGAGTCACGTTTGACAGATGCAAGGCAGACCTGTTCAAACAATCGCCTCTTATTGGCTGTGTCCACTCTGGCTGGCATGTTCGGCTGCAAATAAAAATCACTGGCTTCCACAGTCAGTAATCAAAACTTGACATCTTTTTTCCAGTAAGAGGAGCAAAACACATCACAGCCAACGTGTTCTCTGTGAGTCATAGCATTGCTAACCACAAACATTTCACTTTCACAATACTCTACCACAAAAACGGTCTCGCATTCTGCACTGCTTTCATCCATCACCACTGTCCGGCAAAATGAGAAACAAAGGGAAGACAATTTGACCCCATGCCTTATCTTCAGGGGAATTTCTCTCCCCCCCCCCCCCCCCCCTCCCCCCCACTGTCCCATACTGGTATGATGAGTCAGCTGCTGTAACTTCTCCATCCAAAAAAGATATCATCACTTTGGTGATTGAACCACATGTTAACCTCATGACAGGAGCACACCCTGCTCCTACTGCTTCAGACTGAAAGTCACTGTGCACCCACCAGAAACAACAGTGAATCATAAAGCCCCCCCTCAAGACATCAACCTGTGACCATCTAAGCGGAACAAGTTACTCAGACACAAATATTTTCCATATATTAATCACAAGTTCTTATGTAAATGGCAAAGGGCAAACTGAAAGGTGGACATACAAGACTGCAAAGAAGATCATTGTGAGCTATTTTGGAGCCATGGTCAAAAATTCAATTAGTCATTTTAATTCAAGGTTTTCTTATCTTTACCCAATTCATTACGAGTTATGCAGAGCAGGAATTATAGCTAAACAGCGATAAGATAAAGTCTCTCTAAAGTGATTCATCGTTTGTAGAAATATGGGTTCCTTCTGCTGTTTCTTCTTTGTAGGCTAGTCAACCCTGGTGGTCTACCTCCACTCCACATCGTGCCCTTTGTCCCACATGTCTAAAAATGCAGACCACGTGTCGATTCCAATGTCAAAAGCAGGCTGGTATTCAGCATTATAGCAGCCGCTATCAACCTCGCTGCCGTGAGCTGGGGGAAGAGCGCGAAAGTTAAGGAGGATGTGAAAAATGTTGTACATGGATTTGATTCAATAGGAAAGTGAGGAAGTTTATTTCACTTCCATTTTCCGAAAATCTTATTCAAGTCACAGAAATGCTATAAATAAACACACATGTGGAGAAAATTTTGGGGGTTTTGGGTTTTTTTCGTTCTAGAAAAAGTTATAATCTAAAACCTTAGAGGTTCAGGCGTGCTTAGTAATAGTATATAAAGATATTTTGTAACACATTCTGTAACTTTAGCTTTACTTTTAATGAGAAGTGCGAAGAAATAGTGTGATTTTTATCGTCTTATTTTTTTCCCTCCCACAATGCTGGTCGAAAACGTCTCCTCGCTCGTTATACAGTTTATAAAATGTATTAGCTATAATTTTTTTTAAAGGGACCGCATTCAGTCAGTGTCATAATCACCGCTGTTATTTTCAAATAATTATTTCAAATCGCAGAAAAGCGGCAAAACACACGTTTGTTTTCCCCTTTTACATATTTTCATACAATTTCTAACTTCCTATATGCGACTGCTCCGAGGTCTCCGCCACTTTTGAAGCACTGTATTATGTATCTCCAGCACAACACGTGTCCGCCCGAAAGAAACAAATCTACGAAATCAACATGAGCTTTCATAACTGGGATCAAAACTTATCCTACGAGGAGGATGCACAACACAACCCTGTTTGCGTGCGCCACTATGTCACCGTGAGAACTCGAGTAATTTAGAAAGGAATGTCAAAACATCTTCCCGAAAAAAATAAATAATTAAAAAAAATACAACCTCACCTCTGTGGACGCAGATATCTGTGGACCGGAGTGTGTAAAACTGTCAAAGTATGTTTCCTCGACAACCGGTGAAGTAAGTTGACAAAGTTGCGTCCAGCACAGACGGGCAGCGGCGTATCCTCGTACTAAATTAACTACAAAACAACAACAATGTACCAACATTCCACGCTCTGCTTCCGCAAGCACTCACGTCACCGATTCCTCGTGACCGCCCCCTCCATTCATGAAAATAACTTTGTGCTGACGTCAGTCTGGGGAGGTGGGGTGGGGAGGGGGGAGGCCTGGGGGAGGCCATAAATAGAAGACAGATACTGCTGGCGACTGCTTTTGCTTACTTTACAAAACTAATCTGCACAAAGTTAGCTCACGTTGCCAGCATTAGCCAAGAACAACTTCAGATTTCTAAAGGAAGTCATAAACCTGTTGCTCTCTAAGTGTGCTCACCTCCCTCTCCTCCTCCTCCCCCTCCTCTTCCTCCTATATTTTTGAGTCAGCTCTGCACTACAAGGTATTCAAAAAATACCTTTGAGTGAGGGAAAACAGCGACCCCCTCCCTCAGACTTGAGGAGCAGCAGCAGCATTCCATTCCCGAGGAAAGTATGTGGTGTAGTAGCTCAGCAGTCCCAGGATTTCTCTTATTTTAACTGCACTGCTGCCAATAGCGTCACAGGTTATTCTGGGTAATTAAGTACTGAATGTAAATATGTTAAGTCAGTAGCCTTTTATGGCCTCTACTTGTATGGCTTTTCCTCTGCAGCTATATGGTATTAGAAGATCTCAGCTTTGACCTGAACTATGGTGCCTGTTAAAGTCAGATGCAGTGTGCTGACACTAGAAAACACTTTGAGCTGGGCAGCTGAAATTGCTGAAAACTTTTCTTTTCTTTTTTCTTTTTTTTTTTTTTTTGCTGGTTGGACCAGCAGAAAGTTTTTAGGTTGCATTTGCATTTGTTAGAAACAATGCAATAAAACCCTGGGAAAAGTGAACATCTGGATCCAAAGCTACCCAAATATGTCGATTTTGGTTGGTTTTATTAAAGTGCATACTCAGCCATTTGTGGTTATTTATTGGTTTATGGCTACCTATGACAAATATCAAACAGTTAAATACTCTCTTGAGCTGTTATTGTGCATTTACCATACATCTCTTCAAAATCTGAGCATGGACATGCTGTCAGGACGTCAGAGAAGCTTTTTCTTTTTTCTTTGACCATTTTAGGCCAAAAGCAGCTTCATTATTGAATCATTTTTTGTTCCATAGTGCTATCTTTAGCAAGTGGTGAGGCGAATGAGGAAACAGAGCAGCACACAGACACAATGTCAGATCCATGACAAAAAGCGTGACCTTTAGATAAAGAATGAGTTGTAGTTTATTAGTAAATAAAGAAGAAATGCTGAGTTGGCTTCTGGCTGGGCGATTCAGTGCGCTGAGATCTTTCTGTGCAGACTTCTTTCTGGTGGGTGGATGGTTTAACATTTACAGTTTTTCCAAAGCACTGGACAAAAACATTGGAGACTGACAATTCTGAGTCAGAGAGGAGTAGTCCTTTATACGATTCACAAAAGCTTGCTTACAGAAAAACTGACTAATTCCTTAGAACTGGTTTTTTTTTGTACTCTGGCTTTATGCCAGACAAGCAGACTGGGATTGATTCAAAATGAATGTCATCATTTATGGCAAATGACTCAACAGTTCAACCTTTTCCCCCGAATCACATATGGAATCAATTGTTTACTAAGGATGGTTGGCTCCATCCTTTCATCTGTGCTGGAACCTGCTTCGAGTAAAAAGCAAATAAACCAAATGAGTAACCTTCTTTGTGTACAGGTTACTTGCATCACATCACAGATTATAGATGAGACGAGACAAATGAGTTATTAGAATAACTGTTATTGGACTGTATTAAAGATGAGCCTGAGTAAATCAGAATCACATGTTAAGTGAAATAAGATGATGGGATACAATGCAGGAAATGTAAATAAAAAAATATAAAAGTGTGGTGCATTGCTTGTTTTCTAGAGAATGTGCAGACAGAGAAAAGAAAGAGATCAAACTGGAGAGTCTCTGCAGGACCACCGCGAATATTCTGCACTAGTCAGACATCCAGCTGCTCAGTCAATGGCATAACCCTCTGTTACTGTCCATCTGGCAGCAGTGTATGCGGATGACCTGAAATACACCCGACGTGTGAAACAAAACAAAAACAGCAAAACCATGTGCGGCAGACTTGCCGGGGTTTTTGTCAGATCGACGTGCTGTGGGGTCTGGGTTCTTGCGGGCAGTTTTGAATTACAGGAAGTAACATTGACTCACTAATCTGGGTTCTTTCTGACTCAGACTTCTGAACTCCTAAGAAATCTGATCTGGTACAAAGAGGCCCACTGTTGTAAGGGGATCATTCCTTTTCTTCCAAATACTCCAAATGATTTGTTAGCAGAAGAATGGTTGTAAGATATTTATAGGATCCTTTACGCTCACAGTCAATTAACTCACACTGCATTAAAAATAATAATAATCTTGTTTTCCTCCCACTAGATCCTTCCACAATGTCCAGGCACAACTTGCTGAAAATACCTGACATATTAGACAGCCAGCTCTGGCACAGTCTGAGCTGTACGTAATTTCGAAAGCTAAAAAACAGCTTTTTTTTTTTGTACATTTGTAGACTTCACATGTGACACAAGATTTAATTTGGAGCATTTACTGAACATTCCACTGACTTCACCAAAATGTGTTTCATATGAAAACACTTTACGTAACCAGCTGGCAGCTTAGAGCAGCATGGAAATGAACATGGTGAGGTTACAGTGGTAGTGATGGCAGTACTAGCTGGAGCAAACACTGGTGGACCGTTTAAAGTCTAATACCAAGATTCTCTTTTACGCTTTAAATGGCAAAAAAGTGAGTTTGGGAATTTGCAGACAGCAAGAGAGCAGAGAGAAGGACAGAGTTATTTCTCTTTTTTAGTCCTGTCACAGCTGAGCAATGCTTAAGGAATGAACAGTTCACTGCTGCTGACTATGGGCGGGACTAAATATGGGCATTATAAAGTGTAACGCTTCAATGCTGTCATTTTTTTTCCCCCTAAAGCTACTGATAGCTGTAAATTTGAAAAATAAAAGTGAAGATTAACACATTTAAAATGAACACTGTTAATTCTTTATATTCAGAAAAGTTTAGTCACTGTTAGCATAAAATAAGCCTCCGCTTGCAAAGTGACAAGTGGAGCCTGTCTTAATTAAACCCATCTAGAGTTTGCTGCTTCACTTTGAAATCATCATGCCACAATCTTACATTTTCTCTAAGACCTCCAGAAGAACATAGCAACAGATTTTTTTTTTAAATTTTTTTTTAGGTCCACGATTCCACTCTCAGCAAAAACTGTCGATTTTAGATGGCTGCCAGTTTTTACTGAACCGGCTGCCAAAGCAAATCCAACCCAAGAGTGACAAAACCCCTAGTTTTAACTGGAGGAGCTGCA